GGGTCGCCTCCTCGGGACGCCCCTCCCACAGGGTTTGGGGGAACCTGGCCGCCCGCGCGGCTCTAGCTCAGGCCGAAGGGCGGGACCCGCCTCCTGGCATCTTAACCAGGACCTGAGCTCAGCGAGTTCCCGAACCGCCACAGGCTGGGAGAAGCAGCGGGGCTGCAAGAGGGAAGGGGAGCGCGGGAGGGGGAAGGGGGGAAGGGGAGGAGCGCTCACTGCAACCTCCGCCTCCTGCGTTCAAGCGATTCGCCTGCCTCAGCCTCCCGAGTAGCTGGGATTACAGGCGCCACCACGCCCGGCTAATTATTGTATTTTTAGTAGAGACAGGGTTTCACCATGTTGGCCAGGCTGATCCCGAACTCCTGACCTCAAGTGATCCACCCTCCTCAGCCTCCCAAAGTGCTGGGATTACCGGCGTGAGCCACTGCCCCCAGCGAACTTTTTCTTTTTTTAATGAAAAAGGTTTTTCATGACTTTCACAGAAGCGGATGGTTTGCTCGCCAACACAGGATAGTGTGCGCGTTAACCATGCGGACTGGAGCCCGCGTGGGCCTCTGTAGACAGAGCGCCTGGGCCTGGGGGAAACCAACCTTGAATTCACTTCGTGCAGAGCTCCCGCCCCGGTCCCGGGTCTGGCCTAGTCTCTAGCTGACTGGACTTTTTTGACCAAGCACCACTTGCTAGTGTCAGCTGTGGCTCTCGGCCTCTGCACACAGACCGCTTTTCTTAGTGAACACATTCAGCTGGAAGTATCTGGGGAGCCCCGTGTTGAAAGCAAGCATCTGAGTCATTTTCCCAAGGGCAGGTCTGAGGTCCAGTTTCTGCGGGGGTGGTCAGGATGGAGGGTGGGGGCTGGCAGGGGCCTGGGGCAGCCTCCTTCCCCCACACACCCCCTGGGTAGCGGGAGGATGGGCTCCTTACCTGTTGCCACTCCGCCTCCGTGCTGTGTGTGAAGCCCAGCAAGTGACAGAGTCCGTGGGTGGCCGTCACCTGTCAGAATAATTTCAAACCGGCTCAGAGGATGACCCCACAGGAAGCTGCCCCTTCAGGGACACCCCAGGGCCACAGGCTGCTCTTGGTGCGTGGCTGCAGGACCCCAGGGCTGCTGTGAGACCCCCGCGCAGGAATCACAGGCACTCGGCCTCAGCTCCCTTCCATCTAAAACGGAAAGCAGGCAAGCCCCTTTCAGACTCTTTAGTCAATGTGGAGTGCTGTTCGGCCGCACTGTGCTGGGGAGGCCCCCACGATGGAGCTGTCCAGCCACAGGAGTAATGGACAAGGAGGGTGGATTATGAAGAAGTGAGGAGGGGTGGGTGCCGCAAGGTTGGGGGGTAGTGGGGCACCGGCCGGGGTGGCCTCCCTGCCCTAAGAGGGATGAGGCATGGGCACAGTCCACACCCCAGGCCCAACCCCCAGGAGGGGCAGTGCCCCAGTTAGAGGGCGGGGCCTCCAGTGGCCCCTGATCTTATTGAACACTGTGGGTAGAGCTTTGGTGCACAGGCAGCACAGGGAGTGGAGAAGAGGCATGAAGGCACAGGGGAAGGGAGGTGCAACTGCTGGTGACTCGGGAAGACCCACAGTTACCATGTCCTCCTGGAGAGAGGGCTGGATTAAAGCGCACAGGGGAGGGGCACCCAGATGGAGCCCAGAGCTGGGGGAGGAGGAAGAGGAGGGAGGGCCTGTGGACCCTGAGCAGGCGCAGCACCAAGGGGGCTTATGGAGCCACATGGGCCACAGGGCTGGCACTCCCCTGGGGTTTGGGTGGAGGGAGGAGGGAGACCTGGGAGGTGGCTATCCTTGGGGCTGGTGTGAGGTGCCTGGAGACATGAAGGACAAAGTGGGGTAGATGGGGGTGCAGCTGAGAGCCAGCCCTGAGCACAGCTGTCCTGGCCTGTGGCCATGATGATGGGGTTCTGGGATAGTGGGCTGGCCCACCATTCAGGTTAATAGGGAGCCCCACGGAGAGGGCTCTGGGCCCGAGGAAGAAATGCCAGGGGCAGACCAGGGAACAGAATCTCAGGAGGTTTGGGGAAAATGGAAGCAGATGTCCACATGCCCCCCACAGTTGCTGGCCACAGAGATCCCAGGGCTGAATCTCGGGCTGGGCCACTTCCTGTCACTCTCAGAAGCTTCCCCTTCGCCAGCAGGGTATGTGTGGCGGGCACGTCCCACCCAGGTCTGGGGGGAGCAGTTGGGGCCCAGCCCAGGTTCCTGTGTGGCCGTCCCAGCCTTTCACGCTGGGTCTGGCTGGGAAGCTCTGCTTCAAACCACACACATGCACTTGGATCCCCAAGGATGACTCAGGGCATGGCTGTTCAGTCAAAGGAGGCCAAGTCAAGTATGATTCACTCATACATGGCTTTTCAGAATACCTTTTGGTTTTTTTTTTTTTTTTGGCATCAAGCTGCTGAAACCACCTGTGCAAAGATGATGACAGTGAGAGAAGTCTGGCACAGCTGACTCCATCTCAGTCCTGGGCACAGGCCAAGCTAACCACAGGAGGAATTTAATCTAGAGTTTAACTTGCGTGGCTGACTCCACCTCGCTTCTAGTCTCACAGGTTGGCTGTCCCCACTCAGTCCTGGGTACAGGCCAAGTTAACTATGGGAGGAATTTAATCTAGAGTTTAACTTTAAATCAGGAATAGTAATCATCCCTCCCTAAAACGAATCCCCTCCTTGCTCAGGACCGAAACCACCTCTGTAAAGCTAGTGAAGGGCCACAAGATGAGGACAACGGGAGGGGCCTGAATTCTGCTCAGATGTAGGTGTCCTGAGGAGAGCCAGCCAGCAGCTCTTCTTCCCCAGCTTGCCTTGCTATGATTCCTTGCTGCTCAGGAGTCATGCAGCCAGAGGTCACAAGATTTGTGACTGCCCCAATTGCTCCCCAATAAGATAACGTCAATAGTAGAACCTAAGAATGGTCTTTTGGGACGTTTTTCAGACTTTTGAGTGCTGGCAACCTACAGACTCCACCTGGACCTGAGACTCATGACTCAGCTGATCCTGTGGTCCCCACCCAGAGGCTCATTCAGTGTACAGGACTGTTTCTGTCTCTTATACACATCTAGATGTGTATAAGAGACAGTCCCTGCCCTAAGAGGGATGAGGCAAGGGCACAGTCCACACCCCAGGCCCAATCCCCAGGAGGGGCAGTGCCCCAGTTAGAGGGCGGGGCCTCCA